CTCTACTCTCTCTCTCTCTCTCTCNCTTTTTTAATTACATACATGTGATGAATCAGTTGGGTATTTACTCAATTTTGGGAAATGCAAAGGCTCTGTATATCTTGATACTGATAACACCTTTATCCTGGTTATATCTCTGAGTTAAATATCTGTGCGCTTTTACATCGCGTAAGACTGCCTTTTTAATTTTTTTTAATTTTCTACCTTGTCGTCTCGATATTTAGCTAGACGCCATGGTGTCGAATATGGAGCAGGACGCTGACAGTCTCAATACTAAGTTGAAAAGCACGCTAGAGAAGTTGCGCGCCCAGCGTGGGGCCTTGGCAAACGCTACCTCGGCCAGTACGGAAGATGCCGATAAAAATGCTAGCGAGAATTAAATTATCTGTGCGTTGGAAATGAAAGAAGATTTATAAAGTATGGTCTACATCAGCGATATCAACCATGATACTTTAAATGTAGTTCTGGCATGGAATTTCGCTCAGAACGGCTTTCGAATGATTATCTGACAATATTGTAAGGAAGTACACTACTCCTTCACATCGATCAGGATGACCGATAACTATGGAGTAGACTATGAACACAATTTCATCATTTTGGAGCCTATTTGAAGTAGGATTTAAAATATTGTTCACATATTCTCGGTGGTGGGAGGACTAACTTCTGATTCCCTGGACCTCGCATGCCCAGCCCCCCACAAAAATCGCTTCAGTACACCTAGGGCAGTGTGCATGAGCCTCACTTGCTCGCTTATGAGGATTACTTTAGAACGACAAACCCCTATAACCTACCTGTTATCAAACCTGCCTGTTAGCACTTGCATATTCAACAAAACCCATCCACGTCTGCAAGCACTACACCTAGAATGCTTGTTTCGTTGACTATTTGCTTGTTCACCTGTCATTGTGCGTCGGATGATGCGAGTGCTATGGCATTACACTCAGTGCACGAGGGTGCCACCGTTCCCACGTGTTTTATACGTTCCAGCATGCTGAATGGAACTCTGCCGCTAGCTAATCATTCGTTGTTCAATTTCTTGTTACGAGTTGAGGATATTTACCATTCATCCCAATATGCAAGATAGTATAGTCTTTATGATTTGTAAAATTGACCACCTCTTCAGAATATACCAATAGTTATGTTCCTACCCGCCCTCTTGAAGATATGCCCCCTTGAGACTACACTCCCCATGACCTGTCCTGCTCCAGAAATGGCCTCCTACCTGTGACAGCGGTCGAATACTCCTTAGATTGTTTGACAATTGCAACAGTAGTTGACATTGGGCTGTTTCAGTCTCACATGTTTCCTACTAGGGGGTTGTAGAAAGTATCATTTCTCAATTACACCAAAATTTGGGTTGATTGATGACAGGATCGAAATATACATCAGGGCGCAGCTGATACGTCCTCATGCCTACACGTCTGCTGTCCATCGCATACTGAGCATCTCTCGATGCTTTGCTCCGCCCTGCGTCCGATTGTCCACATTAGCATCACCAAATTCCTTTTGTGAATGTACATCGTCCATATGTCGTTTTGCAATTCTTTTAATTTCGTTTTTCACTTTAATCTAAGGAGTATATCGTAATTGTTCAGCACTCAACAGGCGTGACTGCGAATACTTCGTACTAAACCTACTTTTTATTGTCTTATTTGAATTTGGTTGGTTTGCTCCACAACACTAGGATCAAAATTAATCTATGTTGAACGCTGAACGTCGCTGCGCAGTAATACCAGGTAGACACAAATCCCGGTTGATCCGATTGTAAATCTGGGACCGCCATAAAATATTACTCCAACTGCTGATGCACTACATATACCGAATCAGTTTTTTTACTCGTGCTTTAATATGTTGCGAATCCGATACGCTTCATCTTCAAATTACGTTCACTGTCTAAAATTTATTCAATAGTGGTTTACGTGCCGCCGTGGAGTGCCTTCGTTTACCACAAGATATTCCCTCGGCACAGCGTAACCACCATTAACACAGCAAACAATACTCCCTCACTCACCATCGTCACTATCTTCCTCACTCATCGGCGCCACACTACCTACAATCTCTACCTCAGAATTGCGTGCTCTCTTTCCCCCCTCATTGCCCTCGCTGCTCCGCCTCCTTTTTTTTTCTCTCCCTTGAACAGGCGTCTCCTCTTGCTCGTCGTCGTCGTCGCTGTCGTCGCCATTCTCACTTCGAGCTCCCTCGCTTTCGTCTCCCGATTCTGATGATTCGTAGTTTTCATCGAATTCCTCCGGACAGTCCGAGTCTGCGTCGGAATCGGAATCTCTTTTCCTATTGGGATTGAAGTCTGAATCGGCAGCAGAGTCCTCACTGTGAAATAGTGAAGTTTCAAATCGGTGGTAGAGTCAGATTGATACACCCTTATTCCGTTGACGATTCTATTTTTACTGAAGGGTCTCTTGTTCGAGAAAAATAATATATGCTTCCAGGTCGACAATGTACTGGACACAAATCTGACATATACTGGAATACATAATACACTCTGGCTACAAGTTTAGCGTAGAACGGTGCTAAGAAAATGACCGGTTCAAATATGACCATTCGTGGCTATGCAGTAAAGAAACACGCGCCGAAATGCTGAGCAATTTACAACCTGTCGTCCGATCCATCTTCGAGTTCACCAGCGCCATGCTGAGCCTTATTGGGTGCTTCGGATGTTGCAGGCGCGGTGCCAGACTTTTTTTCTTCAGCATTATTTGATAGTCGTCGTTTTCTCTTATTCCTGCAAGTGTCCAGTAACAGTCGACAGTAAATCAGCCACAACAAAAGACTGAACTATCCACGAGGCCTCTCCCAAATGGTGATATATTCATAGCCAATAGACAAGCACGTTGGTCGATACTGATGCATTGCAGTGATATCAGTGTGTAAGAAATGGGTATGCACCACAAGCGAATCAAACATGTACAAATAGGCAACTATCAATCAAATATTTGAAATCAAGTCGCGTATCTACCCACTGCGTCAATAAAACATATTGTAATTCTCAGCAGGTCAACATACCACTTTTTAAAAGATTGTATTATATAGCTGACATAATTTGTGTCGCTCGAATCAAACATCTCCAAATTTATATCCTCTTCTTCTACAGGCTCTTCGCCAATACCGTCTTGCAGTGCGGTTCCAGCGGTATAGCTTATGGCCAAGCTGAATGTCCGACTGAATAAGAAATAAAATTTAGTGAGAATTTTATACAATTGTCATTCGTTTTCATCAATCAATCACTACACTTTGAGTGAAGAAAATGAGTATGTTGGAGTTGCATCAGAGAGGCAACCCTTCTGAAACTCAAGGTTGTATGGTCTTCATGATGGAACTTGTACTAACGAGAATGTGAGAGTGTCGCATAGAAAATTGTGCGAATAAAAAGTAAGATGAAATAACCAATCTGATTTGCAGCCCACTGATTATGTGAGTTGGTCTAGTTGTTTTGGAATGTTTGTAAACGTACTTTGTGCAGCGTTGTAGAACGGGATAGCTGAGCATAAGCTATTAAGACAACCAGACGAGAGAGACTCTAGCGTATACATGAGAATACAAATCGTACATACTTTGATCCAGATGAAGCCATCTCCATGCCCGTGATGCGATTGTACGATATGAAGAAGGTTGGTGTCTTCAAGCCAAACAGAATTCCATCTGAGAGCGAATACAGAGCACCCTCTTTCACTTTCAGGTGACATTTTGCGTAAGTTCTCTTGATCTTTAAGGGGCTGAGAGTGCCCACAATATCGGGTGTATGACACACCGGTATCCCGCTAGCTTGAGTTAGCATGTTGCTAATAATCTCGTCATTGGCACCTTGCGCAACCTGTTCCAACACCAATTGATGAGATTTGAAATTAAATCTAATTGATGAGATTTGAATCACGTATAGCCTACCTGCATTTGTTTCATCAAGCATCTGAATAACATTCATATCCTTAAAGATACTTGATCATGACCAACTCGCATAACTTCAGGGTCAACTTACGCTATCAGCGCCCCTCTTCTTATCCACGACACGAACTGTGTTTGGCAGTTTGGCGGGCATAGTAAAGCAAAAGAGAGGCTTATGTAGATCGTCTCCAAAACCAACGTACGTCCACACAGGTTTAACTTTATCAGGCGTGTCCACACAGACCAACAGGGTAATCTGAGCGTTAGGTGGTCGACTAGTACGGATCAACTCGAGAGATAGTCAGTGATTAAATCGATGCAACATCCAGAGACAGACTTTACTATGGATACAAGATTGAACTGTAAGTGGTCTTTGAGGAGGTCATTCTTGACAAGAATCGAGCAGCTAGAGTGATGCTAATCAAATCTCTATTCCAAAAAAGAATGGAGTCGCTATACACAGAGGTTTTCACGTCTCAACTCGTATTCACATCAAACATGCATGCTACCGGCGTGTAGAAGAGGTGCGCACATACCTTTGTGTACATGGCGAGAGGCTCACACAGATTCATAGGAGCGCCTGGAGCGTTCACATATATAGTCGTGTCGCCGAAGAACATGTCCTTTTTCTTGCGGAAGGGGACCGTAAAGCTTACATCGCTGATAGATGATGCGAAAGATATAGGATTTGCTACCACCACCGCACCTACAGCCGGGCTCTCCACATTCGTTGGCGAGAGCGTTTTCGCAACCGTTGCCGACGTCTGATGTTGACATAATGAAATGAAAATAAAATCCTAACGAGAAACTGATAAGCTTGCGTGGCCGCCCCATTTGTGCACCTAAATCACGAATAGACCCATATTTGCCAACGCACCTTGAAATGTACAACACAGTAGTAGGGCACAAAGAGGTACTCTGTAACCTTGTTGGCGACGGACCACATGCAGCGAGCACGGTCACCGCGCAACTGACAGAATAAATGCATAACCCTCGCAGAGAACACTCACCTTGTCAGACTCGAGCCTCTTCATTGCTTGTTTAACTACATCAAGCATTTGTTCTAACCATATCTGACCCTGTGAAGCGGCAAAGTATAGCCTTATCTTGAGTACACTATCAGCAAACCCGCAACACAACCAAAACGATATCATCCAATAACGGTCATACATTTACCTACAGGATGAATGGCCAAATGTAAAGGTATAGCCATCATCGTTTTGGATGGAACTTTCTAACCGCAAGAGACCCACAAAACCAGAATGAGACTATTCTTTACAGCAGCCTGATTTTTTTCTTCCAGTATACTAACGTATTCGTTCTGAATATTTTAGACTCATCCACCACTTTTGCCTTACATATACGAAGCTGCAAAATGATGCGTGAGTATAGCATGGAGTTAAGCAAAAGAGTGAAAGCGTGGAGATATCTTGAAGAGAGCACTTACAACGACACTGGCCCCGTCGTGAATTCTCAATATCTTCTCCTTCTCTCCATCATTGAAGTAAGAAGGAAGATCCAGCTGAGAATACAGAATAATATGTGCCGTTAGATGGGTGAGTTGATCAGACATTCGCAATATATTCTCATTTCCGCTTTTCTCAGAGTCGCCTACATACACTACTTTGCCTTCAGCTCGTTTCACCATGGTAAGTAGGTTCTCTCCGATACTTTATCGTAAATGGCTGCGATAAATTCTAGATAAACATAGGTATCCTATTGTGTCCAGAGGAAAAAGCTATACCTCCAGGCTTTGTTTATAGATACTTTTCATAGAAACGCTCCGTTTTTATTTGAAGTCTGAATACTTACACATAACTACGTATCAATACGGCGCACGCTTATTAAAAATTATCGGCGCAACTGAGTGACACATGACTTGCAAACGCTCGACTTAGTCCCACTCGCCAATTATTTGTCAAGTGGTCCAGCATACGATCACAGAGTGCTGGTGAAATAACGCTACATACCGGCATCATGTATTTATCCATTGAATGTTTAGAGATTCTATCGAGTGTAATTCTCCCCTAGTTTCTCAGTTCAGTACTTCACGCATTAACGTGCAAAGTACTTTAAAACTAAAAATAAGATTAGTTAGATGTACTTGTCCTGTACAGGCTGTACTGTAGTACTGCTCTGTTATTTCCTTTGTATGTTCCAGTATTTTTTATTTTTTATATCTAGTAAAAATTTAGAATATGAAGTCTCCCGATATTTTGGCGGGACCGGAAAAAGACACTTACCACTACTAATATTTAAATACCTGAGTAATGAGTTCCAGACTTCCACAACGGTATTAATACCAAACAACCAACGACCCAATAACAAACGTGCGGGATGCTGCTTACATAACAATTAACAACAAGTACTTGTTCTATTTTAGAAGTTGAAACCGGGTAGAAATACTAAACAACATCAAGTTAAAAATCAATCAGAATCACATGCTCTACATGCATATTGCACACGCAGTAAAAGCTGTACAATGACCGATATACCTTGCATTAAAAAATTGAACACTGAACGAAGTAGAAGAGTCATTTAGGTCTCTTGAGCCAACATATTTGTGATTTTTTTTTAAAAACAGTGACGCGACTTGCAAGTTGCAGCCTGCGAACTATACTGACGTACGTGCGCATATTCAATTCTTCACCACGTAAAATTATAAGCTTGACCTAATATTGTAGCCGAAATAAAAAATTGTAATCAATAAGCTAACTCCGCGCGCACGATACTTTGGAAGCTGATGTATATTTTAATCCAGTAGTGCATCTATTATATCAAACTCATACACCGTGATTATCAATTTCACACACAGTAGCAGAATACTATCAGAGTCGCATATTGTTGTAGCGATGGAAGCGAACACACCATACACACACACACACACACACACAC